ACCGATGAATGTCCATTCTGTATCTGTGTATTCAAAGTGGTTGGGGTAGATATATAGTTGCATTGTCTTAATGAATGGAATGATTTGTTCTATTGGTGTTTGTAAATAGGATCACAAGTCCGCATCTTTTACAGCAATTAACCACTAAGAATAATATATGCAGTGTATTATTTGTTGAAAAAAAAAAAAAAGAAAGCCTATCTGCAAATCAGTTTTTGCTAATGTGAAACATTTTGCTTCAATATGGATTTATACAACTTCTAGATTAGTTATTTTAATAATAATTTTTTAAAAAAGGAGCTGCCTTGTACTTAGGAAATGCCACTAAAGTAAAACCAAAATAGGAGGCAAAGTTCTTGAAAAAGAACACTTATGAAGAAAATACTATTTCAGAACCTATATCCTTGCTTCCTCCATGTTATCACAGAACTCTGTACTTTCCCAAACTCTTGGATAGTGGACAACACAAACAATATGGATCCATTCTCTATTTTATATCTCCTAAAATATATTTGCCGTCCACTTTTGGCAGCAATTTTCTGTCCTCATCTAGCTGTGAAACTCTTCTATAAGGACCCTTTGCTCCAGAGTAATAAGCATGAGAATGATACATGGTGGTTCATGCTGGGTGCCAGTGACACCAACCATTAATTAACAGTCTATCAGGAGAAAAGCTCCAACACTTTATCACTTCAATGAAGGAGGGCCATGTACATCTGCCATTGAGAGGGCTTCAAAAAATGTTTCTTGAAAAGATCAAATAACTTTTTCATTTCTATTTTAGGGAGCATTACTTTCCTACAGGACATCAAAATGGCCTTCCACATATTTCCCAAGGCTCATCCAGTGGCCAAAGCCATAGCTGGATAGCTCATCTCAACCTCTCCAAGAGGCTGAAAATCCTTATGCTGTTTCCCAGGCACCTTCACAATGATGCAGTCATGTGATCCACCCTAGGGAGAAAACTAGTGGAAGTTTCTGGAAAACCTGGTGATATCCTGATAAAAGCAAGAGGAGTCATGCCTTAGCCTTCATATCTTAACTTCAGTGTCTATGTTATTTCCAGGACCAGTAATCTCAACAAATGAAAGTTCAGCACAAATGTGGAAACACTGGTCCTGCCTGGGATGTAGCTCCATAGCTTAAGTGCCTGCCTAGCAAGTGCAAGGTCCCAAGTTCAATCACTGGTACTGCAAAAAACAAGCAAAAAACACAAATAAATAAATTAAAAAACTGCTCTTGTTATGCTTTGGATGAAAAATATTTATAATTATTTGTATCCATGTCATGGTCCACTCCAGTGGCTATAATAACCAAGTTAGGTGCTTTATAAAAAGAAATTTCTGACATTTCTAGAAAATGTCTAAGATCAAGGTCCCTGGAAATGCGGTGTCTCATTAGGGCCCATGTCCTCACACTTTCTTCTCACTGTGTTCTCATACAGCAGGCAGCAGGAGCAACGAGTCGCACTTGGGCCTCTTTCATAAGGGCACTAAATACATTCAGGAGGGTGACCTCATCACCTCAAGATCAACCTCCCTAAAGCCATCAGCTTGGGAGTTAGGATTTTGACATATGATGGGGGAAAACAAACATGTAGGTCATAGAACCAGATTTTAATTGAAGAAAATTGCTCCTTGTTTAGCCACTTCATAGTCTTATTTTCTATTACAGATACTCCAGCATCCCTGATCACAACAGTACAAGAGCATGGGTGGCTCTGGAATTACTTCCAACAATTCTGACTTCCAAATGAGATGATTCATTAACTCCTAAACCACTTAGCATAGTTATTTGAACATGTGTACAATAAACCCTAACTATGCTATTTGTAGTTAGGGCAGAATACATTTGTCCAAGCTACACAATAGTTGCTATGGTTTTGATTTTGCATGTCCCCTAGAGGTTTGTGTGTTAAAGGGTTAGTGCTAGTGTGGGGCTATTTATTGGAAGGCAGTGCCCAGCAGGAGGGCCACAGGGCATGCCCTTAATGGTGACTGTCAACACTCTGGTCTCTTCTTTCCCTTTATTTCCTAGCTCAACAAATAAACAGGTCCTTCTGTCACATAATCCCACCATGACATGGTGACTGCAAAGTATGAGGCCACCTGAAGCTGGACCAGAACTTCCAGAACTATGAGCCAAATAGGCTGTTTCACTTTTTAAACTAACTACTTTGGGTAGTTTATTTAACAGTGTAAAGCTGACTAATACAAGAGCAAATAAAGATTCAGCAGAGCTGTGATTAATATTTTAAGAGATACTGATGGGAGATTCAGATGTGTTAACTATTTTCTATTTATATTTTTCTTTTTTTACAGTTCAAAGAGGTTACACACTTTAAATTTCTACTAAGTAAATATTTGGTCAGTACTTAAGGTGAAAGCAACTTACACAAACAAAATCAACACAATTACAAGTGTTTAGAAATCTTTATTCTGATATTCCATAGCAATTTAAAAATAAATGTACATTTTATTTATATGAATACATGCTTTTACTAGCTTATTAAATATTCCAGATTTACATACTGGTTCACAAAAGAATTATAAACTTAAAAATAATATCTCTATATAGTATAGTTTTTCTTGAATTGCAAGAAATGAATTTAATACTTTGTTTTAGACACGTAAAGTCTTTGGAAACAATACACTGAAAAGAAATTTTAGACACTGGGTTGGTAGTGCGTGCCTCTAATCCCAGCTCTTGGGAGACTGTAAACAGGTGGATCATTACGAGTCTGATCTAGTAACACCCTGAACATCCTGTAGACCCTTCCCTAAAATTAAAAAAAAAAAAATGTAATTCCTCCCTCCTGGGCTCTGAGATTACTCTAATTCTCCTTCTCTGTTCAGATCCCATCATTTCCAACTTCTAGACGTTGAATGAATCAACTAGTGGCTGGGATGCAGCTCAATGCTTAGTGTAGAGTATTATCCTGGATCTGATTAAATGTAGCACAAAGAAAAAAGAAAAAAGACAAAGATGGCAAATACACTGGACAAGTAAATATACAACTTTTTAATGAGAAGCTGGACAAATCCAGATTTCTATTACTTTCACTTCGCTTTGTTAATTTATCTCGACTGACAAAGCTACGGTATCTAACTAAAAGAAACTGGATTTAACACCTGATTCTTAGGATGCTGCCTGCTCTTGAGTAAACACAATTTTTATTTATGTGAAAGGGAATTGCTTAGACCTAAAAGCTCAATAGATGATTAGGGGTTTAAATTGTGAATATTCCTCTATCTTCTCCAGAGGCAACCTCAATTATAGTTTTTGCTTGAGATGGTAATTCAACCTGAGTGCTGACTAAAAAAAGAATTCTTCAATTGGAAAAGAAAGGAAGAGAGAGGAAAGAAAAAGAAAATTCTGTTAACAAGGACATAATTTTAACCACAGAAATACACAATTTCAAACACATCCAATCTCAAGAAACACTGAAATGAAGAGACATTCTAATATTTATAATATCTCTAATACTCCAGCAGTTTATACTATAGATAGCTACAGAACATTAAATTCTCATAATTGTTTTTGCTTACTCATGACTTTTCAAAATACATTAAGATTTCATGCAAGTATCACTTATGAAAATTACTGTATAAAACTAATTTCCTTCAAAATATAGCTACAATGTATTTAAAACAGTAGTATATAATTTCTATATATATGTAAGTTTCTACAACACTCTAGCTATAAGCCACACAAAATAACCATAGAAAAACAAAATTTATTATTGTACTTCCTCAACTGCTTATTAAAAAGTTATTTTTCTTTAAAAGAAAGTATTTGGGGGAAATGATATTTATTTTGTTGGAAGTCCTACTTACACTGAAGGTTCTACAGAGTAGAAAAGACTTCTATTTAAGAGAATAATTCCATGAAATCATCTACACCTTATAGCAAGACAAATTAATAGATATATGAAACCATACTGTTCATTATAGCAGCTACTGGCCTCATGTTGCTAATAAGCCCTTAAAACACAGTTTGCCCAAATTATCAAAATACACATTAGAGTTCAAAGAATTACTATAAAAGAAGAAAATAAGCTATCTTAATAATTGTTTATGTTGATTACATGTTGAAATGATAGTATTTTTGGATATGAGTTAAAAAGAATTGTAAAATTAACTTCAACTGCTTATATTTTTTAAAGTGGCTGCTTGAATATTTTTAATTACATATATGGCTTAGACTAGCTTTCTGTCCTACAGCACTGCTACAGAAGCAGTAGATTCAATTATGTTTTTTGTTTTTTGGGGTTTTTTTTGCGGAACCAGGGTTTGAACTCAGGCCCTTACGCTTGCCAGGGAAGCACTTATTCTACTGAGCCATCTCCCCGGCCCTCAAATATATGTTAATATCAATCTCACATTGCATTGTTAAATTTTTACTTCTATTGATAAAAACAAAACCAAACAGGACCTACTAGGAAACAAAACCAAATAGGAAAATATTCATTTTCATCATGTTGGATACTGTTGACATTTCACCATCCTGAATAACAAAATATAAAACATCTATATTTTATTGCTCTACACTAAAAAATTAAGTAATATCAATGAAGTAAAGACTAAAATTTAACAGTTCCACTGATCACTCAGAATTAAACTGAGTTTTCTTTATTGCAGAAGAAAAAGTAGCAGAGAAATCCAGCAATTCAAAAGTTATGGTCAACTTAGAAATGAGTATCAGCTGATTAATAAACCTCAACTAAGAATGCAGAATCTTTCATATAGCACTTGTCAGATTTTGAAATATTATTTTTCAGCCTGATGCTGCCAAGTTTATCTCTAGTAGCAAAAATAGTAATAAAAAAACAAAACAGCTTCATTTTTTCCCCACTTCATCAAAATGAGTCTCAAAAAACTAATTCTTTCTTACATTCAGGGAAACACTCACATAAAACTTTCAAGATAAAAACTTCCACGAGTTGAGCTACTATGAATTTCTGTGCTTTTTGTGGTCGGGCTGTGTATAATTATTTCAAAAGCTCATTTTTCCCCATATTAGCCAAAAAAAGAAAAGGAAAAAAGAAGAGGAAAGAGGAGGAGAAAAAGCAAGAACAAGAAACAAAAAGAAAAATGAAATGATAGAAACAGTAACACATAAAGAATGACATTCTGAGAACTGAGATAGCTTTCAACACGTGCGTAAGTGCACAAACACACACATATACTTAAGAGGATATTCCAGGGCACACTGAGTTGTCTCAGATTCTCATTTCAGAAGTAAACTAAATGGGTAATTCAAGAGCCAAAGAATGATTTCGAAGGTTAAAAATCATTCAGCAGTATTCACTTAAGGCAGCCACAGAATCAAGGGCTCTTTCCAGGCATCTGGCTAAATCTAACAGTGCATTTTTATAGCTCCAGACTAAACTTATGTCACAAATGTGAAGGCTTATGGTAGAGTTTGGGATGCTTTGTGAGTTGAATTTGACTTCACTGAACTTGACTTTCCGGACAGTGAGTCTCCATTGCTGACCCCGGAACACCACCATCCAGCGCATCCAGCGCAGACTCCTGCTCAGTTGGGGTTGTCCCCAGTGCACATTTGACAAGTTTTTTGTATGACTCCCAAAATCAATGCAATAAATAACGAATTAATGTATTTTTAATATGTTACAAGAGAATGGTATCTAGATGTCAATACTAAATTGCATTTAAAATTATAGCGTTACTAACATCTATCTTTTATATTAATACCTAAAATAGTGCAAGTCAATTGACAAAAATGTTACCTTTACAAAATATAGAAAAGGGGCTCTTTCCTTTTGCCCAAGATACTGACAAACTCATAGAACAAATTAAAAGTAAAGCACTAGCTTGTACCTTCAAAAAACATTAAAAATTTTATGAAATGTTCAAGAAGCTCTAAAAGAGAATGATGCTTGTGTTTTCTTTAATTTCCAAAAAGCCAAAATACTCATGAGACACTATTCAATTTCTTGACTCAGAGCCAAAGAACTACTATCTATTTCTTTGTGGATTTTGATCATGTTCTCCATTTGTAAACAAACTGCCACACCAAACAAAGATTTAAGAGAAACACCAAACAAAAGTTTAAGAGAACTAAAATCTTCTCAAATAGCTATGAGCTTCAAATAGCTATGCATTCTCTTTAAATAACTCGGTACTTTAGGAACAACATAAAATATTATACTACTAAGCCAAAAACATGTCAAATGTTCCCACAGGATATACAGAAACAGAATTGTTGAGTTTCACAGGCCATAAGCTAAAGGAAAGAGCTGGTTCCAGGAGCACAGTGCAAGTCTGAACATATCATGCTTTTTGTGAGGCTTTCCGTAAGTCAACATAGAAGTTGGTTAAGGTGCTTGCCATGGCTGTATCTACTGCAGACTGAGGGATCATTCCACGCAGATCTGTCTGAATATACCCTGTCAAGAGACTCTGATGTGGA